GGGTTTTTGCACAGGGTTTTTGCACAGGGTTTTTGCACGGCGCCCTGGGGTTTTTGCACAGCTCCAGCCCCGAGCACCCAGCACAGCAGCCCCCAGCCCCATGGAAGCAGCCGGGCCCTTCGCCACCCCCCTGGGCTCCGCCTGCACCGCAGCCCTTTGCACAGCAGCATTTCAGCCCCAGCAGCGCAGGGACAGCGAGGGCCCTCGGTGCAGCTCTGCGGAAACCAAAGGGTTATGGACACGGTGTTTGCGTTTGCACTTCATTACATTTACTTTTTATTCTTTTTTTTTTCCTCCTTTTTTCCCTCTATTTTTTTTTTTACAAAAACCGCTTGCAGGTATTAACAGCTGTACAGATTCTGCTACATCCTTTGGTGCGAAGGCCAGAAGCAGCCCCGGCCGCCTCCTCCCCTTCCTCGGAGCACAGGGAGCCCCGCGAGCCCGGGGCCGGGATGCGCTTCCCGCTTTTCCAAAGCTTCCGCCTGCTTCCCGGGCTCTTTTTTCCCTCTATTTTTTTTTTTACAAAAACCGCTTGCAGGTATTAACAGCTGTACAGATTCTGCTACATCCTTTGGTGCGAAGGCCAGAAGCAGCCCCGGCCGCCTCCTCCCCTTCCTCGGAGCACAGGGAGCCCCGCGAGCCCGGGGCCGGGATGCGCTTCCCGCTTTTCCAAAGCTTCCGCCTGCTTCCCGGGCTGCTGCAATGCCAGGGCCGGGCTCCCACCGCCTCCTCCCCTTCCTCGGAGCACAGGGAGCCCCGCGAGCCCGGGGCCGGGATGCGCTTCCCGCTTTTCCAAAGCTTCCGCCTGCTTCCCGGGCTGCTGCAATGCCGGGGCCGGGCTCCAAGGAGGTCCCAGCAGGGCCACTGCTGTCCCCAAGCCGTGGCCATTGGGCCAACGTCGGTGCTGCAGAGCCGGGGGGGTGCGTGGAAGGTGCCCCTGATTTTTGCTTTTAACAGAAAAGGCCAAAACATCCCCAAAAATGAATTCACGTTGGGAAGAACGGTGCCCTCCGCAGCATCCTCCTGCGCTCCCCCCGCTCGCACCTTCACCCTCCTTCCTTGTCTGACTGGGTTAGAAATAAAAATAACAACAATTAAAAAAAAATCCATAAAAAAACGCAGTATAAAAGTCCTCCTCCGTATGCTACAATAGAGGGTGAGCGCTTCTGCTACACAAATACTTTTATTTCCCGTGATTTCTGTTCCCCTTTAGTACAAAACGCGGCGCGGGGAGGGGGCGGCAGCGGGAGCCCCGGCCCCTGCCCGAGCCCCTTCCCCACCACACGCGGACCCTACGCGTTAGTAAACCCTGGTTTTTAAAAAAATGTATTTTAAAGGTTATCAATTCTAATTCTTTACTTTCATTTGAATACAAAACACATAAGTCGCTATTATCTTCCGTGGCTCCCTGAGCTGAATTTACTAAGCTTTCCTGGAAATCATTCCTCGTGGGTTATGTCCGAAGAGCAAGAAGGGCTTGAGCAGAAGTTTCCCACAACGCGGGCTTCCCGTTGTCTCCAAACATCCAAAAAGCGCCCAAAAAAAGGGAGAGGAGCGATCCGTGGAAAGGCCGGCTTGCTCGGCTGGCGTCCCGCCGGCCTCCCCCCCCGCCCGGACCCGTACAGTGTCGGGACACGACTAACACACCGAACAACGCACGTGAACAACAGCAGGAACAACTGGCACCAGGGGACAGCGCCGCTCGCCCCGCGGCGCTCCGGGCGGGAAGGAGGAAGGAATCGCCACCACCAAAACCATCAGTGGATACAGTTACAGCAGACCAAAAATACACAACCAGGCTCCCGGGAGGGGGCCCCCACCCTCCCCAGGCTATTCGCTAGTCCGGTATTTACATTTTTCACAAGTCTTATGCGGAACGCACCAAAAAAAAAAAAAAAAAGGTCACAATAAAAAATAAGTCCTTTATAGTGCCACCAAAGCGCAGACGGAAAGAACCAGAAAACCAAAAAAAAAAAAAGAAACCAAAAACCCTAAAAAACCAAAACGCAAGTGTTGTTTAGGGCTCCGATGTGTGCCGTATCTGCAGACCTCCACGCGAATCCGTCCGTGCCGCAGCCGGGCGCCCGGCGACGCGCCGAGCCCGGCGGGACCGTCCCGCGGTCCGGCGGGACCGTCCCGCGGCGCATCCCGCATCCCGCGGCCGCCGGAGTCCTGCGGAGCCGCCAGCCCGGGAAAATCCGCGCCTAGTAGATGACCTCGTAGACTGTGGCCTTCTTGTCCCCGGAGCCGGTCACGATGTACTTGTCATCCGCTGAAATGTCGCAGCTTAGGACGGACGAGGATTCCTTGGACTGCGGCGGGAGGGAGAGGGGGAAGAGGGAAAAATCAGTGGGTCTTCCCAATGAGGGAATGCCCGCGCGTGTGGGCAGGACCGCACGGATGCATCCGGACTGCACAGAAAAGCAGGAGCACGGAGATGCATCCGGGCTGCACGGAAAAGCAGGAGCACGGGGATGCATCCAGGACTGCACGGAAAAGCAGGAGCACAGGGATGCATCCAGGGCTGTGCAGAGAGGCAGGGCTGCGAGGATGCATCCCGAGAGCCACATGGAGAGGCTGGACTGCATGGATGCATCCAGAGCCTCATAGAGAGGAGCACATGAATGCATCCAGGGCCACATGGAGAGACAGGAGCATGTGCATGTATCCAGAGCTACATGGATGTGTCCAGAAAAGAGGGACCATGTGGATGCATGCAGAGAGGCAGGACTGCATGGATGCATCCAGAGCCATGTGGATGCAACCACAGAGGAGGGACCATGTGGATGCATGCAGAGAGGCAGGAGAGTGCAGATGCATCCAGAGCCATGCGGATGCAACCACAGAGGAGGGACCAGACGGATGCATGCAGAGAGGCAGGACTGCACGGACACATCCGGAGCCACGCGGATGCATCCGAACAGGAGGGACCAGACGGATGCATGCAGAAAGGCAGGACTGCATGGACCCATCCAGAGCCACGCGGATGCATCCAGGACCGTGCACAGAGGCAGGACCGCGGGGTCCTGCTCTCCAGGCCCTGGAATACACTCGCAGCCGCACCTGGAATATGCTGGCTCCGTAGGGCGTCCTCCAGGCGTTGAGCAGGTTGTCTTTCCCGGTGCTCACAAACCACTTCCCTAGGGACAGGAAGGAGGGAGCCGTTAGCAGCCCGGGATGGAGGCGGCAGCTCTCCCGCATCCGCGGCTCCGGACACCGCGCGGCACCGGCCTTCGGCCGCCCTCTCCCCCGCCACGGAGCTGCTCGGAAATCTGTCACCTCCTCTGGGTGAAAGAGCAGGATGGTTTTACAGGAAGAATCCCCCATCTCCTCCTCCTTACCCCAATCCCCAATTTCCTCCTCCGCAGGACAAATCCCGCTGGGAGCGCCGGTGCCGAGCGCGCGCGCGCTTACCGCAGTAGGCGAACTTGAGGGAGAGCACGCAGCTCTCGTGCAGGTGCAGCTGGTACTTGTCGGGCTTGGTGTGGTGCAGCACCTCCACGTTGCTGCTCTCCATGCCCACCGCCAGCCACTCGCCCGTCGGGCAGTATCCCAGCGAGAAGATCTGCAAGGACACACGGACTCGCTCCGTCCTGCTCGCGGGACGCTGCGCGCTCCGGGAGCGGTGCTGGGTCCAGCTCCATTTATTTTAACCCGTCCTGATTTTTGCATCCCCTCTGCTTGAGCTTTGCCCGGACAGCAAGGCCAGTGACTGGAGAGAAATGGCCCGGCGGGCTGGGAAGGACGCAGCCCTGTGCTCATAAATCCCTGCTGTCCTGAGCTGTGGGAACACCAGGCTCAACGCACCCAGCACTGTCTTTTTGCTCATCCCAAAAGGCACTCGAGGCTCCAAAACAGCCTGTCCCAGGGCCAGGATGCCTGCCAGGGTATATGGATAGAAATCATCCTGGCATTCTCCAGGAGAGAAAACTGTGCACAGAAGGCAGCGTGGATAGATAAGCTCCAAGTCATGGATACCCGCGCCCGGGAATCACCACAGGACTGTGTCTGGAAACCCAGTCTCCCAAGGCCATGGGCTAACACGTGGAAATCCGGACAGCCAGCTCTGTGGGATGAGCAGCGGAACTAGGAAAACACCTCGGGAATGAGGTTTGCACGGATGAAAAGGCACCACGAGAGGAGCCAAAAGGGCAGCCTGGGGAGCCCTGCAGCCTGGCTGGCTTGAACGCTTTTATGTGACACCGGGGACACGGCTGCTGGTGCCAGCACGGACCGTCCTGCGCTCACCTGCGACGTGAAGTCGTGCTGCTGCAGCTGGCGGCCCTCGCGCAGGTCCCATGAGCGCACCGTGTTGTCCAGGCCGCCCGTCCACAGCTTCGTACCGTCGTGCGAGATGTCTATGCAGCTGGCGCCGTCCGTGTGCCCTTGGAATTGCCTTCAAAGGAAGGAATGGGACCCTTGGAGGAGGAGCGGCAAATCCCTCTGCATCTCCAGAGCTTTCCTTGCACCAAGGGCAGCCGCAGAGCCGCTGCTCTCCCCCCATATCCCAAACTGGGGCTAGGCCCTGGCAAAGCAGCAGCTTGCGTGGGAGACGATCCCATTCCAGCAGGGAAGGCTGCCCAAAGGAGCCCGGCGCTCGCGTTACAGCAAGCGGCACCGGTTGCCTCTCTCATCACCACCCTCAAGGTTTCCATCCCAAAACACATCCCCAAAGTCGTCCCAACACGCACCTGACGAGCGTCTGGTTGTGCAGGTCCCACACGGCGATGTTGCCGTCGCTGCAGCACGAGAAGCAGACCTTGGCGTCGGGGCTGATGGCCAGCGCGTAGCACGCGGGCGCCGACGACGTGAGCTCGGCCTTGATGCGCGGCGTGGGGGACGCCAGGTCCCAGATGGTGAGCGTGCTGGCCTCGCCGCCCACGATGAGCGTACGCCCGTCGGGAAGGAGCTTGCACGAGCGGATGTAGTTGTCCCTGTTCTGGAGGGGACAGGGCAACAGGGGACGTTATGGGCAGGGAAACCAGCGGGGACAAAGTGCTGAATGATGGGCACGAGCCAAACATGGTGTTGGCA